GACCGCATTCAAGCTTGAGTATGAGGTATAATAAAGATATTATTTTGTCTGTCATAATGTTTCAACCAATTGGCATTATGGTTAAAATTCAGTGAACGTTTATATCTGTGCACATACGGTCAATTAATATAATGATTATTAACATGATTTATTGACCCAGTGACATTGCGTGATAAGTAATGTTATCGCCAAAATATTATTGTTGCGGAACAATTTATAGTTCAGATAAGAGGTCATCCATTTGGGAATTTGGCTTTATACAAATATTTAATCACATCTCGTCAATGAAAAAAAAAAATATTTACATGGCCAACTAACATCTTCTATCCCGAAAAACTTTACATGTAATATAAACATAATGTACATAATGTACATAACAAAACAAAACATAACATAACATAATATAATATAATATAATATAATATAATATAATATAATATAATATAATATAATATAATATAATATAATATAATATAATATAATATAATATAATATAATATAATATAATAATAACATAACGTGCTATAAGTCATTTGAATTCGAATGCTGTGAATAGAGAATTATGTTTGTCTTAATTAATTCAAAGTATTTTTAATACGCGATGATACTGTGTACATTGTCACATTTGTGTTCAAATAATGTATACATCACCAAATGGATTATAATTATATTTGATATTCATCTGGACACTAGTTGGGTGCACTCAAATCGTAGGATTAAACAAAATAAAATGTGTCGTCATCAGAGTCGCCCTCACTCAAAATGAGCAGCCATGCATAGATAATATGAAACCGCCTCCAGTACATTTATTCTAATATGTGGCCTAAATATAGATTTTCGTTAAAGATAGCAGTGGGCTGACAAACATACCGGTAGCCGTGCATCTTTGCAAGGTCACGTGAAACATTGACATAAAAGGCGTCTATATACCCAAAGCTTCTCACTATTACTTGAAAACCACTGGGAATTATATCTTTTATTTGCATGGAATAGACGATGAATATTGATGGAATGCTCGATGGATTCATATTCCGTAGACATTGCTTTGCCATCGTTCTTTTGAATGTGGGCGAGGAGACTGGATGAAATGACGGCGAGATACCACGTCATATATTGATTACTCTTATAATAACGTTATTAATGTTTAAATGTACTATCCGGCTACATTCGGTCTTTACTGACATTCCTAAAGGTGACATCAACCGATGTGCGTGTGTGGTTTTTTTGTTCGACGTTTCTCAACGCACTTGGAATACTTAACGCTATAATTTTTATATATGTAAGTACCATCCTTATTTATGGCGTTATTTATGACGGTGTGACGTCTGTAACTATGTTATGAATTTCTTCTATTTTTTACAAGTGTCCTTTATTACGGGAATGTAGTAGTTGGATTTGCATGCACATTTAACGCATATATAGAGTTAGCTGGTGTAAGTGAGTGTTAGCCATAATTTACCCATCTAGGGTAAATCTATTTGTATATCGCTGTGTTCAGAATTAGATAAGAGAATATTACACCGTCGCGAAAACACACTAGGTCGGCAAAGAGATCGAAGACACGCCATGATATATATTGTGTTAAACCAACTGCTGTTTATACATGTCCCCATAACAGATGCAATTAATCTTTGAATGACAAATTAAACGGCTCTTACTAGTGACTAATAGAATGTATGTATGTGACATTTCCACCAACGCGTTTCTTCAGTTGGTTGTGTTAACAGTTTAGGTGTTGTCACGCTCCGGTGCAAAAACCGTATTTAATTAAAATAGCGGATCATATATGCATCCATATTCTCTGTCACATGTTGTATAGACGAGTTACGGGGTGAACAAGACAACTACATAGAAATTGAATTACATTTAAATGATAAAGCACTGTTGACGTAGAAGCCGAGTCTCTTTACATAACGTATTGTATGTGAACATAATGTCGTAAACTTCCCTTACTGGAATGTTGAAGACGGTCGGGAGATAACTCCAGCTTGTTTATTTCACAATCGTGTTTGTTAAAATGAGATAGATTCATGTGTCTTGTCAGATATCCGCTCTTCTCAAGCCCCACTCTCCATTTTTTCGTTACATCGCCCTGCTTCAGAGGTAGTGACTTATTAATTCGCACAATGAATTCCAATGCACATTGGCTCAAATTATCGATTAGGCCTATGTATGACAATTACTTTGTTATTTTAGTCTATAATACTTTATTTACAAGATCACAATGGTTTATTGGTTGCACATTCAGATAATTAATAAGTGACGTCAGCAGCTGTAGTAACAATTACTATGCCATTTTCAATCCATTTTATTAGGCGTACAAGTCTCGTAAATTGACATTCCCAGAACGTGCACTTTGACACCATGATACAATACATCGTCTCTATCTGAACAGATGATATATAACACACGAACAGCTAATGATTTCCCACAGGACACATGACTTTTTCAGTTCTGACAATATTTTCCTAATGTACACGTACACGTACCAAAATCACACGCGTTTGCCCATTTTCTATAAGCCACATATTATTTCGATGGTTCAACGTTATGACTGTTTTAAATAAACCAAACTATTTTTGCTATAATCGATGATTGCGCTGCACTGGGACTGGAATGTCCCTCGTCTTCATTAGGTACAGGACAGCCTGCAAATATTTGTAAACATTCGTCATCCAAATGTATTTAGGTTATATAGCAGCCAATTAGTTTACGTCACGGTATTTATGATAGTTATGACCCGAAAATTACCTTGTAAGATAAATGTAGGCTTTCCTTAAATATGTAGATGGAAACTGAGACTAATTGTTTAATTGCACCGCAGTGGCCATACATTTGTAATTGCCATGCCTCGCACGAATCCGTACATAATTAATATTTCATATTGGTAAATTTAAAAACACATTCAACTTCATTACTCTCATCTGTACATAATTAAGAGATGCATACATAGACCGACAATATGATGACACGTGATGAGGTATTTCATGGGAGATTATAGATGATATGATGGTTTCATACATATGCAGTTCAGACACGGGTCAACAAGCATTTGTAGAACGTACTGTAATGTAGACTGTTTAATTACTAGTTGCAACGGGAAACGAACTCATATTCTCTAAATACCAATTGGGAACTCGCCAAAACTATATTTCAGTGTTGAATTGAATTCAGATGTTAAGTGTAATTGTTACAGATAACTGTAAACCGGCGTTGTCATAGCTACGTAACAGTGGCATTTTGTAAACCGGCGTTGTCATAACTACATAACTGTGGCATATTCTGTAAACCGGCATTGTGCTAGCTACGTAACAGTGGCATTTTGTAAACCGGCGTTGTTATAGCTACGTAACTGTGGCATATCCTGTAAACCGGCATTGTCTTAGGTTTATAACACTTGCATGAGGAGACATAACTGTTTTTCAACTAATGAAAAAGTTTGTCACGAAAGGGGTTCGAACCGGCAACATAAAATACACCAGAAAGATTTTCAACGATTGAGATATTGCAATCTCCGGTAAAGGTTTTGGATTAAAATAGATATCACCAGAGTCATTTGAACGTCAAGTATTATAATTGAATTATTCCTGAGCAAATGACAAAGCGTACGATACATCCTTTGTATGTTCATTGCACGCCGCACAATGGCAATGCAACCAATTGCTGAATCTTTTTTCGTGGTATAACTCAAACTCTCGTTCGAAAATGTAGATTTACTGATATAAATTTACTGATACAAAAATTACCAAAAAATTCTGTAATACGATTATGTTGTCAGTTTTCCAATGTGTCATATACGTTGATGCGCTTAATAGCAGTATGTGAATATAATTACGTTCAAATAGGATCATAGTTGCCTTAGTATATTGAAATCCTGTCTTTTCATCACCCGCACTCTTTTTTAAATATTTAATTGCCCTTATCCGTGATAGAATGTTGTAAAATTAACCCTGTAGACGTATATATAGTGTGTGTGTGTAATTTTCGAACGGCATCGATTGGACATTTTCAATTTGCGGTGACAACAATTAAATTAATATACGAGAAAACAACCGTGCGTGTTCTTGAAACCAATAATACGCCATCTCACTGATAAACTTTTTGCAGGTTACCAAACCTACACGGCCGATTTCGACAAAACTGACAACTAAGCGGGAACGAACACGCCCTTGAGACATCTGATTGGTACCCGGTCAAAGATTACGCTCTCGCATGGCCCAATCAGAAGTCTGTTACGTTTGCTAATTCCCACTGAGTTGTCTATCTGTTGCAGTCAGCCATATTTATCAGTAACCTTTTTATATTAATTTTATATGATTATTCAGTGAAATTTGATATTAATTATCAAATAGGTTCAATCTTGGATACGCGCTCACGAATTACGTCATCGATTTTATTTCGTGTGTTTAAACGCTGGATAACGGATAGATAGGATAAACAGCATATCAAATTCTTGACTCCACAACAAGCCATGTGTAACAAATATTTTATTACAAGGTCAGGTGATATCCTTCATTTTATTGTTAATATTTTTCATACAATAATTTGATAATTGTCACACACGTAGTTAAATGTACAAACATGAGTCAATTGTGTGTTACTGGCGTAGTGATACAAAATAAGTAGTCCCGTCGCTATGACAACACTCTCAAGTAGATATCCATACAGCATGCGCATACAGGATACCTGCAACTATCTACGAGTGTTAAATTGGCATACATAGCGTGGAGCCACCAACGTGACAACTCATCTACACTCTATCTCATTTTATTTAATTTTAATGACTTTGAAATGGTTATTTTGATTCTGCCGTATTATTATGTGTGTGAATGTACTCCACTTCCGTGATTGATCCTCAGTCATTAAATATTAATTTTACTAAAAGATGCATAGTTGTATATGGCTTCGTATTAATAAGTTATTAGAGCTGTCGAGTCACCATTAACCGAGTATATCTCTCATATTTTCAGTTTCTAGATGAATGATAGCAGAATATTCCGATGACAGCTGTTACGTTATCCACTGATAGTAACGAGTCTGTGGGTACGGGAATGAACTCTACCCGGGAATTGAGCCACGGCACTTTAACGGTGGAGTCAATGGATGCTTCGCCGAAATTCAAGAAGAGAATGAAACGATTCACTAGGAGAGATATCGTGAACGAGTTCAGTCGAAACACAAGATGCCATGGGCTACCGCGAATCATTAGTGCCAAAACGCTACCGAGCCGGTTCGTCTGGTCGCTCGTTTTCTTCGCAGCACTGGGCGCATTTGTATTCCAGGCAACAAAATTGATCAAACTCTATCTGAACTACGACGTAACGGTGACGATTGAAGACGAGACAATAGCAAGTCTGATGTTTCCCGCTATAACAATCTGTAATACCAACAAATTACGTTTTTCGGAAATAGAAAAAAGTGAGCATGCAGTGTTATTGAGAACTGATCCAAATCATCCTAATAGTTTACACCGGTCTCTATCATACCAAGGTAAGTACATATCAACACCATTTGAATATACAAGTTTTTTTTTTCAAATTTGGAAAATGCTTTCCAAGAATCAATTTGACGTCCGTACTTCAAAGTCGAATCAAAACACCATGTCGATACGACTATTGTATTCAGGTAATAATAATTGTTCGTTAGTGTTTACGTGAGTGACGATACTACCATTGTATTGACGTAATGAGCGCACTTACTGTACTCGTGTAAGTGTCGATATGATCATTATAATCAAGTAATGATTACAGTTATTCATGTCAATATACATTGTAGATAATTCGCCAGCCATAACATTCCTTATAGTAATAGAAACTGAATAATAACTGACGAATATTTTCAAAAGTGTATATGGCTAGTTTCTTAATACTGTGAAAATATTTTCAATTTTCGATATCCCTTAGTTGTTGACCAGAGTTAAAAAAAAAGAATTAATTCTAGGTCATTGCTTTCATATTCTGGTACCAATTAAAATCAAGTTTGCCAACTGTTTTAGTTCGTGCAAACATCTTCTCTTTATTAGAAACCAGTGCGCAAAACGGAGAAAGATCTTAAGTGGGTTTCTGAAACTATTGATTCACCTTTATGTGCTTACTTCCGACAGCAATGAACGCATTTACAATCGTTTTCACTAAACATTGAACGATCAGATTGTGGTAAATGTTGATACATCAGAGCAAGTACCTAATGAAATTGCCACTGATTTTATCACTACTAATCAAAACATCATAACTGTAGCATAAA